ATAAGTGTGTTGTTGTCTTCTGTCTTCTTTGTGACTGACTTGGTGGTCTAGGGAATGTGATGATGTGTAGTGGTCAAGCTTGTTTTTTAGAGCACCCTTTTGAGGATACTTGGGTTGCCTTCAAAGGTAGTACTGTTCTGTTTCTCTGAAAGGTGGGTGACCAGTGTATCATATTTTCCCTTGTTACTGTGGATACTGCTTCCTAGCCTACAAAGTGTTTACTTTGGCCTGGGCTTGGGCTTTGGGAGGGGCAGGATCTCTTCACTTTAATAACAAAGCAAAATCTTCTATGTTTACCCACATATTTATGGTTTATAGTTAATATATGGTGTCATTTGCCTTTAGCCTCATTAAATTCTGTAAACTTGATATTTCAGATCTCTTGGCAGAGAATTATTTCACTTTTGTTTATTTACAGGAGTCTTTACTTAACCTTCATTTTTCAAAAAGGTAGTCTAATGGGAGGGGCTTCCCTGGTGGTGCAGTGGGTGAAAGCTTCAGCACTATGAACAATCCACAGCCACTGCAGCACGAGTTCAATCTCTGGCAAGGGAGATGACCTACATGGTGTCTCTTGTCCCACCAGCTGCTCCCTGCAGCAGTGTACTTCAGTCATTCCACCTGTTCTACTCCCCACTCTGGTGAATTCTATTCCCCACTCTGGATTCTCTGGTGAATCCTTTCACCACTACCCTCCTCCCACCTTCTCTACACCTCTGGCCTGTATCCTAAGTCTTGTATACATAAATAAATAAATCTTTAAAAAGTATAGTAGTTTGATGGGATATGCTATTTTGGGATTAATTTTTTTTCCCTTTCAGAAATTTAAAAATGTAAATTATGTTATGTATTTCACCTGCATGTGTATTAAGATGATCATTGTCTTGAGTCAGTTCTCAGTTTCTTTATGGAGAGTTAAAATTAGTGTTTGCTGTTAACCTCCCCCTACCCTGAATAATTTGTTTTTCCCTGTTTTGAAAGTTTTTCTTAAATTTTAGTAGTTTGCCAAAGTATGGTTTTCTTCATATTTATCTTGCTTGGAGTTCATTAAGTTCCTTGGATCCTAATATTTTCATCTTTCATTATACTTGGGAATTTTCTGCTGTTATTTCTTCAAATACATCTTTTCATTTTCTTTTCTTCTCTTCTCCTTGGCCTTCAGTTTTACATATATATGCTATTTGACCAGTGTTCAGCTGCACTTACTCTTTGCCTTGCTATTGATCTTCTAAGACTAAATAGTTTTCATATCAGATAGCCTTTAATTACCAGTTGTTCACATTTGGTTCTTTTTTTCTCATCTCAATCCTCTAGAGATTTTCATTTTGTCTGAGTATATCTTCCATTAAGTTCCAGAATGATAGCTGCTTTAAATTCTTACCTGCAGTTCTTCAGGAGAAGGAAATATGAATCTACACAAATAATTGTATATAGTGCTGGGAATGGTAACATTGTTGATAGTTACAAATATTTTCTTACATTAACCACTTTGAATAATTGTCTAAAAATAGTAACAAATAGTAATAATAATAGTATGGTGTTAATAACATGTAGTAATAAAATGTAGGACAACAGTACAAAAGATAGCAGGAAGAAAAGGGAAGTATTTTAAAAAAGTGTACTTATGAAAAAAGTAAATATTGTCATTGCTTCTGAATCTGCAGGTACAATTTGTTGTGATCAGAACAATAGCAAATAAATCTTTGCTGACTATATCATCTGGGTCATTTGGGAGTATGCTTTTTTTTTTTTTTTAAAGATTTATTTATTTATTCATACAGAACTGGGGTACAGGCCAGAGATGCG